AATTTTTCTTTTTCATAAACTTCATTAAATTCCAATACATCTTTTATTGACATGTTATAATAATACTCATCTTTTGTATTAAAAGATTCGATAAATAAATATAACCTTTTTGTAACTTGCTGAAGCAAACTTTTGTAGTGAAGTAATAGAGATGTTTCATTGTTTCTTGTATTGTCCGTATAGATAATATAAATCTGTATTATTGATAGAATATATTAGTGGAAAACAAAAAGATATAAGCCATATAAATTGAAAAAGAATAGGTTAAGTATATTTGCCTTATCTTCGTCGTCTGAAAAATATGAGTGATATTTCACTAAAAGTGAATTAAGACAAACAATGAGAACCAAAACACCAATATAAGACCTACCCTTCATTGTCAAACTAGAAATAACATATTAAAAAATGGTTAGTATAGAGGGATATGTTATTATTATTTGCCGCGGTAAAAACTATAGAGGATAGAATGAGAACTATAAATTCAATTATGATGTGTATATATAAGAAAGTATATTGAAATAAAGGCATCAGGAATGCCTCAATTAAAGGTTACACACCAATGCAGGTCTAACTTCCAAAACTGAAACCTAAACAAAAAAGCACGTGTGCCACTAAAACAGTGAAAAACATACAAACAACATAGATACGCTACAAAGTAGAAGATCAACCAACAGAAAACACATATAGCAATATAGTAATAATTCTAAGCTAAGTTAAGCTATTTTACAATAGCATTATAGTAATAATTCTCTGCTAAGTTAAGTTTTTACTTAGATATGTGGATCAGTGGACACTTGACTTGATTAGTGGCTCTATTTGTATTTAAAGCATGAATAATTGATACTACAAAATTCCTTTCATTTTAAAAAACAGTTTTCAATAAGACATTTCAGCAACAACCGAATGCATAAACCATGCTGTCATTTCTTTTATTAGATATATGATCATAATACTAAACCAAAATAAAAAGCTGGTAATCATTTGCTAATTTTTTATAAAAAAATTGCTAATCAATGAAAATACTAAAATTATTTTGTACCAATAAGTTAGGTAACCATACTTTAGTCCAAATCTGTATTAACATAAAAAGTTAATACGCAGTATCATATTGTATCCATGGATAAATGACAGACAACAACCACTCACCACTAATTGATATAGAAAATGGCTTTTAGAAGTCCCAACGGCTTTCTATTTAAACCTGTAAACAACATTTAGCATCCAAATGTTAGTATTCACTTGTAAGAATGCAACACAGATTTCTTTACTAATCACACAACGGTAAAATCATCATTCAATCATGTGATAGAAAGTCATTATATGAAGTAGAACATAACAAAAAAAAAGTTCTTTTCATTGAAAACTTCAACCAAGGCACCATACCTCATATTTGATTTTCTTATCCCTGATGTAATTGCTCTTCTAGGAGAAAAGCATATCAATGGAGTATCAATTTGATTTTCTTCTCTCTTCAATTTTGGTTACAAATTTGTTATCAAATGGATCCACACGTTATGAATCAGATCTAGAATTTTTAGTGTTCATGTAAGGTTTAACGATGGATCTAGAGTAGAGAATGAAGTTGAATTGAGGTGTTAGTAGGGAGACGGAAACTGGAAAGAAGTAAAAGAGGGGTAAAGAAATGAGTCTTCGTTGCTTATTGTTAAGGAGTAGCTTGAAGCAGAGAACCGAGTGCAAGCAATTAGGAGTGGTTTCCTCGATATATATAGCCGTTTTCACTCATATACTATAAGTTGGTATTAATACTGTGTTCTCTTAAATCGACACGTATCATTATCTATCATTAGTACTTTGTTGTTCTCTTAATCTATACGTATCCCTATCGTGTACAAAACTATTACTTTATTATGCCATGCATGATTGTAATGTGTTCTCAATAAATCACTACATTAATTATGTCATGTCATGCATGATCAAAAGAACAATGTACTTGTGCTTTTACACGTATTAACTTAGTGTATGGTTTTACAACAAATAAATTTAATTGAAAAGTATATTTGACTTAGACTCATATTTAGACATGTACTAACATGGACCACCAACCGAGGAGTCACCTGAGGAGTATAAAACTAAACATGCTCGTATTTATATCTTACTGTTTATCGGACAAGTTTTGTTTCCTAACAAAAGCGGTAATACTATACACTCAAAATGGACATAATTTGTTGTGGATTTGGAAGATTGTGGAAAATTGAGTTGGGGTTTCGCCGTTTTAGCTAATCTATATAGGGAAATGTGCAAGTCTGTAGTTATAAAAGTAACAGAGATGTCAGGATGCGTTTTACTTCTTCAAGCTTGGTCTTTTACACGCATGTCTATTATATCTCCGGTGGCTCCGCTTCAAGCTCTATATCCTTACGCAAGAAGGTAATATTTTAATTTAAATTTAAATTTATAATTACAATTGTTAGGATACTTTAAAATAAAGTTTAATTTTAAATTCTTTTTAGGTGGTCGATCAAGAAACTTGACTACCAAAACAACCCGCGTCACCATCTACAAGGATATCGATTCAGGATTAATCACATGCTTCAAGATCAGATTTTTTTTGTCTTCACTTTAATACTTCTTATAAATTTATGAATTTTATTTTGGTTAAAATAACCAGTTTTATCTATAACTTTTCACTTTATTTGGAGGCCGTATCTTGGATTAGCGCCCCAAAGGCACGAGAAGAGTTTGATATGGAGTTCAACTACGTATATAATATGTTTTCATATTGTAGAAATACATCAAGCAGATAGGGTCAAACTACAATTTGACAATTTACAACGGATACCTGAAGAACCTCGATGCCTGGCTGAACACCATAAGATGAAAACAATAAAAGCTTGCATCGAGAATTGTTTACGTTGGATGGAGATCAATTATAAATAGAGGAGAAGTCGTCAAATGAGTACATGCAATGATATCACTCGCTTCCACATAGATATGCATCATACGGACAATTTCTCACTGACACTCATCAAAATCAATATGCCCCTACTCAGTTAAGTGGATCTCAACAACCTCACCACTCACAACATTCTCAACCTCCTCATCCCCAATACTTCCAACAACAAACTCCTCACATTATCCTGAACAACAAACTTCTAACCCTCATTTTTTTCAACTACAAACTCCTGTTCCTTATTTTTACCAAAATCAAACCTTTAACACCCAATACCCGCAATCTCACTCCCAACCAAATTACATTTATGAATCCCAACAACCACAAATATATCATAGGTCAACTACACAATTCACACCAATCATGCGACCAAACTTCGATTCCTCCTCCCAACATAATCCTACAACGCCTTATTTTCCAACCATGTGTCCGCCACAACAACCGCAATAGAATTTTGGCGAGTATCTTAACGTCAGTGATTATAATTTATTGAAAAACATTTGGTCTCCTCCGCAAGCTACAGCTCCTAGTCAAGAAAATCCTACAACATCAGATGCAACACAACAAAATCCTCCAACATCAGATGCAACACAACAAAATCCTCCAACAACAGAGACCGAACAACAATATGGTTTTGGTCATCGTGCTCCGCGACCGTATATTGTTTTACCGGTACTCGTTTCGGACCGGGTCATCAGCATTAAATAGTATAATTGTGAAATTTTAACTGTATTTTTTTATTTAGTATTTTGATTGTAATTGTGAAATTTTATTATTTAATAAAAAAAATTATTATTTAATTATAATGGTTAAATAATAATTTTAAGTTTATAATTATTTAAGTTTTTAAATTAATATTTTATTAATTAATTTTATAATTAAATAGTTTATTAAATTATTTATAATTAATAATAAAATTAAATAATTAATATTATTAATATAAATAAAGTAAAAAGAAGAAAATAATAAAAAAAAATAATTAATAGTATAATATGTAGTGACAAACAATAGCAAAATAAATTTCACAGAAAATAGACTTGGTGACAAACAATAGCAAAACTAATTTCATAGAAAAAGACATTTACTTACAGACAATGGAAAGACAAATTATAATAGTAAAACTTAACTAAAACGAAATTGATATGCTAATTATACAAAAATAATTTACATGTGCATATATCATCATAGAAATCATATCTAATTTAAAAAATAATAGTCACCATACATTATATATGTTATCTCGTTAATCAAGGGAAATAAAACACTATTCTATTTTATAAAAGGGTTTGTTTGTGACATCGAATTGATTTCTTTCTAGATGAAAATTCTCATTAACTTACATAAATTACAACCAACCATGATGGTCAAATAAAAAAAGACAACATTTATATAAATATTTACACAATTAATTCATAGCAACATATTTGTGAATCAAACATCTTATATCACATATATACATTTCTTTTTGCACTATGTCAAAATTGACTTTAGACAGCGCCACATAGACAGCGCTTATGCCCTAATTGCTGCTATAGGTTTTCAGTAAATAAAAAATAAAAAAATTAGAATAAGCGATGTTAAAGGTATACTATAGACATCGCTTATTATAAGCGCTGCTATAGGCCTTACCATAGACAACGCTTCCTCTCCCTAAGCGCTGCTATAGGTTTTCAGTAAAAAATAAAATAAAAAAATTAGAATAAGCGCTGCTAAAGGTTATACTTTATACAGCGCTTACTAAAAGTGCTGCTAAAGGTGTTATTCTAGGAAGCGTTGCTAAAGCCTAAAGCGCTGCTAAAGGATATACCTTAGACAGCGCTTTCCAGAAGCGCTACTAAAGGCATTACTCTAAAAGCGTTGCTAAAGGTAATACTTTTAGCAGCGCTTCTTGAAAGCGCTGTCTAAGGTAATTAAATAGTGTCTTAATCCCTAAATTGGTTATCAGATTTCCAGAAATCCCACATTTTACAAACGAAACCCCACACCCAGAAAACGCTCCTGTTCATCTTCTTCTCCAACTCGTCTCCTCCCATTCACCGTCCAAGCGTGGTTCTTCCTCCAACTCGTCTCCTCACCGTCCAACCGTAGTTCATGCCAGAAAGCTTCTGATTTGTTGTCTCGTTACAGAGAAACCTGATTCAAAAACAGTGTGAGCCTTTACCTAGAAGAAGAAGTTTCAGAAAATCGGTTTCATCTAAGGTAAAATTTCTTCATCCTTTTCCGGTTTCACTATGGAAGCCTGTTAGTAATAAAACAGTAAATTGAAATGGTTTTAACTCCAAGAGTTTCGAGTGTTTGAATGGTAGGAAACTGAATAAAGATTGTGTTCATTGCTTTGATTTGGTTAATGGATATGAGAATCAAAGATTTGTTAAGTCTAAGAGTAAGAATGATTTTCTTGTGGATGATGTTTTGCAATTAGGAAATGATGGGATTAGAATAGGTTTTGATATTGGAATTGGTTCGGGGTCTTTTGCGGCAGTTATGGCTGAGAGGAATGTTACCGTGATTACTAGTACTCTTAATTTTAATGGTCCTTTCAATGAGTTTATCGCGGCGAGAGGACTTTTTCCGGTTTACTTGAGTTTGGCATAGTGTTCATATTTACTCATAGCTAGATTCAACACTGAAATCAATCAAATAATTTAATAACTTATAATATACTATAAATATGGTTTATTCTATTAATAACATAGATATCAAATATCATTGTGAAAAACATGAGTTTAAAATATCAAATGATACTATCATCCGTCAAAACAATCAATAAGCCAAAACTGCACACTCTTTAAAATATTAAAATCAAATGGACAATAACAAACATTTACATAATTATAACCATAAAGCATTAACTCAAGAAGCCCTTAGATCACAACAATACAAAACTAATGCATAGTAATAAGGAAAAAAATCACAAGTATAACAACAAAGAATTCAAAACAATCACATATAATTCAAATGCAAATGTAACAAATTTTTTCCAGATAATAAAAAAAAAATCCAAAATAAAGTGAATTTTGTGTTTTTATTTTATTTTATTGCAATTTAATCATTATAAAGAATCCAAAAACATTTTTAAAAAAATGTATGATTTAATCTTGGCTTAAATAGTTTTTTATTCTTTGTAAATTGGTGTATTTTTTTTTTATTTTTATCACTTTATCTTTTGTTTCTTAAATGATTCTGGAATGTTAAAATCTTTTTGATTTAAACCTTAAAACTAAAGTCGGAAGAAAAATCCGAAATAAAAAATCCGTATAAAACCTACAACTTTTCTTGCGGATTTTAGTTTTAAGAGCAGAAATTTAATATTTAATGACTTTATCCAAGAAAAAAGATACATAAATGGAAATAAAAAACATGCAACTTACAAAGACCAAAAAATTATTTAAACCTTTAATATTTTAATTTGAATCATCTTTGAATATGCCATCACTAATATTTCTCTTTTACATTTACAAAAAAGAAATCTATAATCCATTTATTTTAAGTATAAATCCGTAACTACAAAAATGAAGAAAAAATTTAGAAATATGTATATTTTCTGGTATTACAAAAATGAGCAACATATATGTTCTATGTTTCAGTTTATCTCCATTAAAAACAATAACTAGCTCTACATTTTTATAGAAAAATACACAATTTCTAATAATAATAATAATAATAATAATAATAATAATAATAATAATAATAATAATAATAATAATATTAATAATAATAGTAAAACTAAAAAAAATAACAACAACGATAATAATAACAAAATTTGTTAAAGTTGAAGATGTTGCAACCCTCTCAGCTCGTTCGTGGAAAACAACAATCGAACTTCTAACTTTGAAATATCCATCATCCCAAGTCAGAGAAGCTGATTCCATTGATTTGTTCAAAACTCCATCAACAATGACAACATATGTATGGTTTTCTCCTAGTGAAGTGAATGACAAAACAATAGGTATCACATAAATATGTAATCCTTTTGGAGGTGTCACAATTGCTCTATACGTAGAGAATGGTGTTCCAACATTGGTGACAGTTCTATGAAATCTTCCACTGACATGTTGTTTAGAATGTGAGGCTTTTAAAGCAAAGGATGGATAGTTCAAATCTCTTGCTAATGCATGTGTTATTTCCGAGCAACTGCTATTATCTCTCGTGATTAATTGTAGAGCAGCGGTTGTAAGGAACCCATCAGCATCATATACTAAACCAGGATGCAAAGCTTTATCTGGATCAACTTCCCCGGCTCCATAACCAAATTCCGCGTCTCTATTATTGTCAAGACTCATCTTTTTAGCTGCAAACCAAAAAAAAATGCATATTATTTATATTAACTTAAAATACATTAAATAAATTATACTCACCTTTACAAACTGAAGTAAATTTATATTTCTTTAATAAATTTTTTTTATTTTATTTCCTATTTTATAGTTAAGTGCATTGTTCAATAATATATATATATCAAAATTAAAAAATAAATAAAAAAAGAGAAAACAAGCATAAAATTATGATCGTAAATTGGGCGACTTATATATTTGAGATACTATATTTTAATATAAACTCAATAGAAGTATAATCCAAATAGGGTAATATTTGTAAATGTTTATAATAAATGTTCATGTTTAAAATAATTTTGCTTAAATAATTATCTAAAAATAAGAATCAGTTAATTTCAGTTTTCTTTATTCAGGACTTTGTAATTGAGATGTTATATTACTCATTTCTATTACCAGTTGTCATTAAAGCCGAGAGGATAGCAGCAGGGGACCATGTAAGGTGAAATGACTTGACGTATGCTGCTGCCCCAGATTCATGCGGACAAGACATTGATGTTCCTGATTTAATATTAAACTCCGATTTTCTAGTCTCGCCAAGAATATCCAAGATAGGAAGATTTGAAGGCCAACTAACTAAAATATTTATGCCGTGAGCAGTTAAATCGGGCTACAATATTAAACAAAGAAAAGTGAGCTACAAGTATTGTAAAGTGTATTTAATATATTCACTAATAGAAAATAAACCTTCAATATCTCAGATATAGCAGTGTTTGGACCCCTAGATGAGAAAGAGGCAACCACAGGTGCCAACTTATCGTTTAACTCATAGGTCTTCAATATTGTGGCAACTGGATTACTGAAAGATTGATTAATAAATTAAACTTTATATAAATTTGATTAACTGAATTAATGCTAATGTATAGGGAACATGGACTTGATATATACCTTGTGGAACTAATGTATTTAAATATACCGGTTACATCTTTGGTTTGAAGAAAGCATGGAGGTAAGGGATAAGACAGTGGCTTTTCTGGTAAAGTGGGACCATACATCAAGATACCAATAGCACCCACTCTGAAGGCTTCTTCAACTCCTTCCTTTCCTTCACATAAAACAATTTTACCCTTCACCAGTCTTACATCTAAGGTGTTGTTTAACTTCCAAAACCTATAAGATAAGAATAATTTTATTAAAAGATCGTTGATTTTAGGAGAATGAAATCTTTATTCTAAAATGCATATTTTGAAGAAAATGTTGCTATAACTATACGTTATTCATTTTTTGTGACCATGAAAAATCTATAATTTTAGCCTTTGAAAGAAAACAGTCTTGTTGTTCCTTGTGCAAGTCCTAGCATGCTTGCTATGGTAACTGGGTTCCCAGCTGCAGCAGTTGATGCTGTATGAGTTCCATGTCCCTTTGAATCTCTTGGAGATTCAAAATCTGCTTGGCTCAACGGTTCATTTGAAGTTGATAAGTAATACTTAGCTCCAATGATTTTTCTGCAAAAACATATCAATTTATATTAATATTTGTATTTCTTTGATTGTGTTTAATCTCTATATAATAAGGCATTGTATTGTACTGTCAAATATATTCAAATACCAAATTTTTGCAATAATTTTCAAAATTTTCTATATTGGTTATGAGTGAAGATGAAAGATGATTTAAGTTTAATTTGCAGGCGAAGAACCTTTCAAGATGTTATAATAAGGCATTGTATTGCATTGTATTGTATTGTCAAGTATAAAGGAAGTTTTTTTTAACTTGCAATAACATAAGGAAGTTGATCCTCATCCAATTACCTGTTGCAAGAAAAATTAAAAGCGATGCAACTGTCGTTCCATTTGGTACGTAGCGGACCAAAACCTTTATCATCGAAACTAGAAGATTCCGGCCAAATTCCCGAATCAATAACCCCGACAACGACATCACTTTCATAATACTCTCTTTCAACATATTGTGTAAGACCAATAAAGTCCCATGACTTGGTGGTAAGGATGTTACTCTTTTGATTAAGAAAAACAGACACCACTCCTTTGAGTCCTATATTACAAATTTATAATGGTTAATAAATTTTAAAATATTTAAAAAGGTATCAACTAATGTTCTAATAGAAAGAAAAAAAAAATCACTCACCAGCCATTTTGTTGGCTTCTTCTTTCGTAAGCTTGGCTACAAAACCGCTGAAACTCTTCTTGTAGTATTGAAGTGTTGTTTTTGGCAGGTGTCTGCAAAAAATTTAGACATAAAAATGGATAATGATAAGAAATTAATCATTGATTTTTTCTGTTATTAATTTTTCTTTTTCATAAACTTCATTAAATTCCAATACATCTTTTATTGACATGTTATAATAATACTCATCTTTTGTATTAAAAGATTCGATAAATAAATATAACCTTTTTGTAACTTGCTGAAGCAAACTTTTGTAGTGAAGTAATAGAGATGTTTCATTGTTTCTTGTATTGTCCGTATAGATAATATAAATCTGTATTATTGATAGAATATATTAGTGGAAAACAAAAAGATAAAAGCCATATAAATTGAAAAAGAATAGGTTAAGTATATTTGCCTTATCTTCTTCGTCTGAAAAATATGAGTGATATTTCACTAAAAGTGAATTAAGACAAACAATGAGAACCAAAACACCAATATAAGACCTACCCTTCATTGTCAAACTAGAAATAACTATTAAAAAATGGTTAGTATAGAGGGATATGTTATTATTATTTGCCGCGGTAAAAACTATAGAGGATAGAATGAGAACTATAAATTCAATTATGATGTGTATATATAAGAAAGTATATTGAAATAAAGGCATCAGGAATGCCTCAATTAAAGGTTACACACCAATGCAGGTCTAACTTCCAAAACTGAAACCTAAACAAAAAAGCACGTGTGCCACTAAAACAGTGAAAAACATACAAACAACATAGATACGCTACAAAGTAGAAGATCAACCAACAGAAAACACATATAGCAATATAGTAATAATTCTAAGCTAAGTTAAGCTATTTTACAATAGCATTATAGTAATAATTCTCTGCTAAGTTAAGTTTTTACTTAGATATGTGGATCAGTGGACACTTGACTTGATTAGTGGCTCTATTTGTATTTAAAGCATGAAAAATTGATACTACAAAATTCCTTTCATTTTAAAAAACAGTTTTCAATAAGACATTTCAGCAACAACCGAATGCATAAACCATGCTGTCATTTCTTTTATTAGATATATGATCATAATACTAAACCAAAATAAAAAGCTGGTAATCATTTGCTAATTTTTTATAAAAAAATTGCTAATCAATGAAAATACTAAAATTATTTTGTACCAATAAGTTAGGTAACCATACTTTAGTCCAAATCTGTATTAACATAAAAAGTTAATACGCAGTATCATATTGTATCCATGGATAAATGACAGACAACAACCACTCACCACTAATTGATATAGAAAATGGCTTTTAGAAGTCCCAACGGCTTTCTATTTAAACCTGTAAACAACATTTAGCATCCAAATGTTAGTATTCACTTGTAAGAATGCAACACAGATTTCTTTACTAATCACACAACGGTAAAATCATCATTCAATCATGTGATAGAAAGTCATTATATGAAGTAGAACATAACAAAAAAAAAGTTCTTTTCATTGAAAACTTCAACCAAGGCACCATACCTCATATTTGATTTTCTTATCCCTGATGTAATTGCTCTTCTAGGAGAAAAGCATATCAATGGAGTATCAATTTGATTTTCTTCTCTCTTCAATTTTGGTTACAAATTTGTTATCAAATGGATCCACACGTTATGAATCAGATCTAGAATTCTTAGTGTTCATGTAAGGTTTAACGATGGATCTAGAGTAGAGAATGAAGTTGAATTGAGGTGTTAGTAGGGAGACGGAAACTGCAAAGAAGTAAAAGAGGGGTAAAGAAATGAGTCTTCGTTGCTTATTGTTAAGGAGTAGCTTGAAGCAGAGAACCGAGTGCAAGCAATTAGGAGTGGTTTCCTCGATATATATAGCCGTTTTCACTCGTATACTGTAAGTTGGTATTAATACTGTTTTCTCTTTATCGACGCGTATTACTATCTATCATTAGTACTTTGTTGTTCTCTTAATCTATACGTATCCCTATCGTGTACAAAACAATTACTTTATTATGCCATGCATGATTGTAATGTGTTGTCAATAAATCACTATATTAATTATGTCATGTCATGCATGATCAAAAGAACAATGTACTTGTGCTTTTACACGTATTAACTTAGTGTATCGTTTTACATTTACACGTATTAACTTAGTGTATGGTTTTACAACAAATAAATTTAATTGAAAAATATATTTGACTTAGAGTCATATTTAGACATGTACCAACATGGACCACCAACCGAGGAGTCATCTGAGGAGTATAAAATTAAACATGCTCGTATTTATATCTTACTGTTTATCGGACAAGTTTTGTTTCCTAACAAAAGCGGTAATACTATACACTCAAAATTGACATAATTTGTTGTGGATTTGGGAGATTGTGGAAAATTGAGTTGGGGTTTCGCCGTTTTAGCTAATCTATATAGGGAAATGTGCAAGTCTGTAGTTATAAAAGTAACAGAGATGTCATGATGCGTTTTACTTCTTAAAGTTTGGCATGTCTTTTATATCTCCGGTGGCTCCGCTTCAAGCTCCATATCCTTACGCAAGAAGGTAATATTTAAATTTAAATTTAAATTTATAATTACAATTGTTAGGATACTTTAAAATAAAGTTTAATTTTAAAATTTTTTTAGGTGGTGCATCAAAAAACTTCACTACCAAAACAACCCGCGTAACCGCCCCAAAGGCACGAGGACGGTTTGATATGGAGTTCAACTACGTATATAATATGTTTTCATATTGTAGAAATGCATCAAGCAGATAGGGTCAAACTACAATTTGACAATTTACAAGGGATACCTGAAGAACCTCGATGTCTGGCTGAACACCATAAGATGGCAACAATAAAAGCGCGCCAAAAAGCATATACCACATTATACTCTGATGAACAAAACTGTTGGTTGCATCGAGATTTGTTTACGTTGGATGAGATCAATTATAAATAGAGAAGAAACAATCAAATGAGTACATGCAATGGTATCACTCGCTTCCACATAGATATGCATCATACGGATAATTTCTCACTGACCCTCATCAAAATCAATATACCCCTACTCAGGTAAGTGGATCTCAACAACCTCACCACTCACAATATTCTCAACCTCCTCATCCCTAATCCTTCCAACAACAAACTCCTCACTTTTCCCAACATCAAACACCCATCCCCATTATCTGAACAACAAACTTCTAACCCTCATTTTTCTCAACTACAAACTCCTGCCCCTTATTTTTACCAAAATCAAACATTTAACACCAAATACCCGCAATCTCACTCCCAACCAAATTACATTTATGAATCCCAACAACCACAAATATATCATAGGCCAACTACACAATTCACACCAATCATGCGACCGAACTTCGATTCCTCTTCCCAACATAATCCTACAACGCCTTATTTTCCAACCATGTGTCCGCCACAACAACTGCAATATAATTTTGGCGAGGATCTTAACGTCAGTGATTATAATTTATTGAAAAGTATTTGGTCTCCTCCGCAAGCTACAACTCCTAGTCAAGAAAATCCTACAACATCAGATGCAACACAACAAAAATATGGTTTTGGTCCTCGTGCTCCGCGACCGTGTTATTGTTTTACCGGTACTCGTTTCGGACCGGGTCATCAGCATTAAATAGTATAATTGTGAAATTTTAACTGTATTTTTTTATTTAGTATTTTGATTGTAATTGTGAAATTTTATTATTTAATAAAAAAAATTATTATTTAATTGTAATGGTTAAATAGTAATTTTAAGTTTATAATTATTTAAGTTTTTAAATTAATATTTTATTAATTAATTTTATAATTAAATAGTTTATTAAATTATTTGTAATTAATAATAAAATTAAATAATTAATATTATTAAAATAAATAAAGTAAAAAGAAGAAAACGAAGAAAAAAATTATGAGGTCCTTTCACGCCATTTGAGTTGGCGAGAAACTTTACAGTCCATATTCACGCTATTTCAAATGACGTGAACCCTTAGATATGATATTTTGACAATTTTTTTTCTTCAGAATATGACATTTTAAGAAATTGATTTGAAAAACGTGACATTCTAGAAAAAATTTCATATATATATAGCCGTTTTCACTCATATACTATAAGTTGGTATTAATACTTTGTTCTCTTTATCGACACTAATCACTATCTATCATTAATACTTTGTTGTTCTTAATCTATACGTATCACTATCATGTACAAAACTATTACTTTATTATGCCATGCATGATTGTAATGTGTTGTCAATAAACCACTACATTAATTATGTCATGTCATGCATGATCAGAAGAACAATGTACTTGTGCTTTTACACGTACTTAGTGTATGGTTTTACAACAAATAAATTTAATTGAAAAGTATATTTGAATTGAGACTCATATTTAGAAACCAATATCAACCGTGACTAGGCATTACTCAAAATAGTGGTTGCTAGCCGTAAGATACAGCGGTTTTAGACAACCACTTAATTTTAAAGGTAAAGAATGATGAATAAAAGCTCATTCATTATTTTGGACTTGTCCTTGTTAGTATGTCCATATAAATCTGTTTTTGGTATATCATAGCAACGAGTGAGTAGCGGTACTTAATACTTATTTCTCCATTTATAGTGAATATTTGCTTTTGTTTTTCTGTTGTTTGCTTTTAAATAGTATGGAGTGGATCTCGATGCAGAGTATTGTGGTTATGATTATATTCGAATTTATTGTTAACTATATGCTTTTATCACTTTTTGTTCTATCATCCAAATTAGTTTAATAAGGTTCAATTATAATTATTGAACCAAAAATTCAGTTATATTGTAACAAAACCAGACTTATAAAAATCATCTCCACCCTATATATATATATATATATATATATATATATATATATATATATATATATATATATATATATATATATAAATCAAAGTAAAAAAATTACGAATACCCCTATGATTCCAAGTTCAAACTTTTCTGATTCCAGGTTAAAAATGACTATTTGAAGTATCATATTCATTTGACATTTAGTATTGTTTATGTGTCACTTTAATTGATTTTTAAAATTATTTTGAAAAATTTTATGTATACTAAAATTTTAGTTATCCAACTATTAATTGATTGACCATTATTCATTATTGGTTCACGTTAGAATTTAAAGGTGACCTCTCAAATTTCAAATAAAAACTAAATTTCACACTGCTCAATAAAACCAAGGGAAATGCAATAGTCAGTTAAAATTGGAAAATCTTTTCCTATCCTTTAACGATTGTCTCTTTAAATCAGATGGTATTTGCTTCAACATTCAAACCCTACAAGAGGTACGAAGTCAGATTTAAATCAGTCGTAGCCAGGGAGCATAAGATTGGAATTGGTGGGTATGTTGCGATTGACACGGAGGTTGGCTGTGACGAATGTGTTTCCAACATTGCATTCAAACTTTCCTCTTTCCTTTTTCTCACTTTTTCCATGTATGTTCTGCTTTGGGTGTTTTCCTTTCTTCTAAAAGTTTGTATCAACAGTTTGTGGATTTGCGG